CATGGGAGTCTGACAACCAATCAGAATACAAGATCAAGATCAAAGGCCAGAGAGGGCGTAAAACCAGGGGACTCTGCATCTCAGGCCTTCCTTCTCTTTTCTCCACCAACATTGAAGCATGTGATCACGTTTTTCTGTTCAGGGCTCAAGCCATGTGGTCCTGTCCACCAATAAACCATCTTTCCAAGCAGCCTCCATGTCTCCACGGTCTTTTTCCCCACTTGGAGCCGAACCCAGAAGGACATTTCTTTCAACACTACAAAGCTGTTTTGGTCTTTCTGACATGCACCAACTGGTGGTGGAAGATTCAGGGGCAAAATTGGTTATTTGAGTTTTGCAAAGGATTAAGGCACTATGCCATCCTTTGAAAGCTTCCAAGCCCACCATATCAAGCCCACTCCAGGCCTGGCCCAGCCCTACCTATTTATGGAGTGTGGTCCTTGATGTTCTGTACCAAATCTGGTGCCACCTTTAAGCTGACGAAAGTGAAACATCCCTGCCATGAATTGATGATTTGCTGGAGAGAGGAGTTTTTTCTGGTTCGTCCTGAATATCCTGAGAGCCCAAAAGAGAAGAATCATCTGTGTGAAACGACAAGTTGAACCAAGTAAAATGTCAGAAGGAAAGAAATGTGTCAGTGGACCTGGTGATGGGGCAAAAGGCAGAGCAAAACCAGGAGCAGAACAATTAGTGTATTAAAAAGAGATTAGACCTGGAAATCTAGGTCATGGCATGTCACGTCATATGAATGAACAGCCAGTGTGCTTGGTGGTGTAATGTTTCAGAGAAAAGGTGGGATTTATAACAGTTTTTAATAGCTCAGAATTAAGGTGGATCCCAGCATTTATTCAGTGTAGGAGGTTATTCCAGGGCAATGTGAAAGGAAGCAGGGAATAAAGTCCTCCGTTTTCAGTTCTATAGGAAGAGACATAGGTTTCAAGATACAAGGCCTCCCTCCCCAGTTGCAATGATGTTTTTACACCGCCATTTTGTACCGTTGCTAAAAAATATAAATATGACGGTTTAACTAATTTCTTGACCAGAATGATCAA